CTTAAAATCACAAGCATCTTCACTCGTTGCAGGCATTTTCTTTACGAGATTGTCATGCAACTGCCTTGCCTTTTCACATATTATCGACTGCATAATACTATCTCCTACTAACTGTTTTTGGGTAATCCACACAAACAATAATCTTTCCACTTCTTCGAGGATTTGCGATCTCTCTTTTGTCAGCATGTCTACCCCTTTTGCAACAGCAGCACACTTTATTTCCTTTCCCTTCACCACGATCGAAGTGATGGTTGAATGGGGTTTGTCATACATCCTGGCAAGTTCTGTAACATGCACTCCACTCTCATATTTTTCAATGATTTTCTTCTTGAATTCGATCGTGTTCCTCGCTTTCTTTACCAAAGGGCTTGCACTAGCTTTCCTTGGGCCCATGGTGACTTATTTAGCAGTTTCAAGCACAAAAAACAATGGATTATTATGAAATGTATTGTATGAACTCGCAGGGTGATGGTCAGGTGCTGTCAAACAATGTCAAACTGAGTATGAATGGTGCGGGAGACTGGGTTTGTGTGCGCAGTGATGGGTGGATGGGTACTGGACGGTCGCCGAATCACGAGTTTAATCGCGAACTGCGAGGCTAAATTTTGCCGAAAGTCAGATTTCATGAAAGTCGATGCTGACGAAACTCGGGGGTCCACTGTACTACTATAATACGTACTATTATTCCATTACTACTACTACTGTTACTACTACTACTACTGTTACTACTACTACTGTTACTACTACTACTACTGTTACTACTACTACTGTTACTACTACTACTACTGTTACTACTACTACTGTTACTACTACTACTACTGTTACTACTACTACTGTTACTACTACTACTACTGTCTACTACTACTACGTTATACTACTACTGTTACTACTACTACTACTGTTACTACTACTACTGTTACTACTACTACTACTGTTACTACTACTACTACTGTTACTACTACTACTACTACTGTTACTACTACTACTACTGTTACTACTACTACTACTGTTACTACTACTACTACTGTTACTACTACTGTTACTACTACTACTACTGTTACTACTACTACTACTACTACTACTGTTACTACTACTACTACTGTTACTACTACTACTACTACTACTACTACTGTTACTACTACTACTCTTACTACTACTACATTACTATTTACTACTACATTACTACTATTTTACTGCTACATTACTACTACTATTTTACTGCTACATTACTACTACTATTTTACTGCTACATTACTACTACATTATAACTACTATTTTACTATTTTATTACTACATTACTACTATTTTACTACTACATTACTACTACATTACTTCTATTTTACTGCTACATTACTACTACTATTTTACTGGTACATTACTACTATTACCACTACATTACTACTACATTATTACTACTTCATTACTACTACTCCATTACTACTACTACTACTACTCCATTACTGCTACTCCGTTACTACTACTACATTACTACGACTACTACTACTCCATTACTACGACTACTCCATTTCTACTACTACTACATTACTACTTCTCCATTACTACTACTACTATTACTCCATAACTACTACATTACTAATACTAGTACTCCATTGCTGATGCTATTACTACTACTCAAAAAACTTCAAAAAATATTATGTTTAATGTAACATATTGTGTGTTATAATCTCAAGAATGCTTAAGACAGTTTAATGGTGTCTTATGAAGCTATTATGTATATGTATCATACATACCAGAAATTCTTTATAATATAAAAGGCTTATTTTACAAGGAATCATAAAATTGTCAGGATTGAATGCATGCAAAGAATCAAAGTACAATACTTGATTCAGACTGTGAGTTTAAGATAATAACAGAGGAACATAAGGATATCTCTCTTCTTTTTACACTTAAGTACTTACATTACATATACAAAAAAGATCTTGTCTCATCTCTTAGAGACATAGAACATAAGAACATAAGAAAGGAGGAACACTGCAACAGGCCTGTTGGCCCATACTAGGCAGGTCCTTCACAAATCCATCCCACTAATAGAATATTTGCCCTCATAATAACATAAAGAAGGAACATCGCAACAAGCCCACTGGTCCATGCGAGGCAGCTCCAATTCTCCCACCGGCTTAAGCCAATACCTTGACCTTAAGGGAGGAGCACTGCATCCGACCTAGTAGCGCAAACTAGTCAGGTCCAACTCGCACCCACCCACACCTACTCATGTATTTATCATACCTATTTTTAAAACTACACAAAATCTTTGCATCTGTGACGGTACTCGGGAGATTGTTCTACTCCTCCACCTCCCTATTACCAAACCAGTGCTTTCCTATAGCCTTCCTGAATCTGAATTTTCCCAATTTAAAGCCATTGCTGTGAGTCCTGTCTATGTTCGATATTTTTAGCACGCTATTTACATCCCCTTTATTAATTCCTGTTTTCCATTTATGTATACACTTCAATCATATCCACCCTAATTCTACACCTTTCTAGAGAGTGCAGATTCAGAGCCCTCAATCTGTCCTCATAGGGAAGATTTCTGATACATGGAATCAATTTGTCATCCTCCTTTGTATGTTTTCCAGTACATTTATATCCATTCTGTAATACAGTGACCAAAACTGTGCAGCATAATCAAAATGAGGCCTAACCAAAGATATATATAGTCGAAGAATAACCTGAGGACTTCTATTATTTATACTTCTAGATATGAAGCCAAGGATTCTGTTAGCTTCATTGGAAAAAACTAATGCGCTGTTGTCTTGGTTTTAGATTACTACTAACCAGAACTCCTAAATCCTTTTTGCAATCCGTAATATTAAGATCTACATTATTTAGTTTATATGTGGCATGGTTATTTTCCTGTCCAACATTTAGAACTTTGCATTTGTCTATATTAAACTGCATCTGCCACTTCTCTGACCATTGCATGAGTCTATTCAAATCATCCTGGAGTGCTGTAATGTCCTCATTAGAATGAATTGGACGGCCTATTTTGGTGTCACCAGCAAATTTACTTATGTTGCTATTTATTCCCTCATTTATGTCGTTTATGTAGATTGTGAACAAGGGGCCCAACTCTGACCCCTGTGGAACACCGCTTGTGACATTCCCCCATTCTGATTTCTCCCCATATATGCAAACTCTCTGCTGCCTATTCGTCAACCATACCTCAACCCAGGAAAAAATTTCTCCTCCTATTCCGTGTGCCTCAAGTTTCCTCACTAGCCTCTGATGTGGAACTCTATCGAAAGCCTTACTGAAGTCCATGTACACAATATCATATTCAATACCACGATCTACCTCCTCAAATACCTTAGTGAAGAAAGTTAGTAAATTCGTAAGACAGGAACGCCCCTTTGTAAAACAGTGCTGAGATTCATTAATCAATTTATCCCTTTCGAGATGCCTACAAATTGCTTTGGCAATTATTGATTCCATATATTTTCCCACTATGGAGGTAAGGCTTATTGGTCTATAGTTTGAAGCTAAGGACCTGTCACCTGCCTTGTAAATAGGTATTACATTTGCCATTTGCCATTTATCAGGCACTATGAGAGTTTGCAGTGATATGTTGAAAAGATTAGCCAAGGTATGCAAAGTTCCTCATTACATTTCTTTAACACCCTTGCAAACAGTTCATCAGGGCCTGGGGATTTGTTAGGTTTTAATTTCTCTATTTGTCTGAGAACCGTATCACTAGTCACTTCAATCGTGCATAGTTTATCATCCTGTTCTACATAATCTATTATATCTGGAATTTTGCTAGTATTTTCCTGGGTAAAAACTAAGAGGAAGTAAGTATTGAAAATTTCACACATATCCTTATCACTATCAGTGATTTGACCTGAGTTACTCTTAAGTGGGCCTATCTTGTCCCTAATCTTACCTCTGTATACCTGAAAGAACCCTTTTGGGTTAGTCTTCAAATCCCTTGCGACCTTAGCCTCATAATCCCATTTTGCTTTTCTTATCCCTTTTATTTCTCTCTTTAGTTGAGTATATTGATTTCTTAACTGCCCCTCCCCTCTTTTGATATGCCTATGTATGCCTCTCTTTTGACCAATAAGGTGTTTTAATCTATTGTTCATCCATTTGCGATCATTTTTGTTAGATCTAATTAGTAAATGCTAAATGCATAATCTTATATTCAACTCAGTTTGTAAAGAATGTGTCTACACACAGAGACGAATAAAGTTGCTGTGTTTTTACACCCAGAGACGAATAAAGCTACTATGTCTACACCCAGAGATGAATACAACTTAACAACATATTAACCGACCAGAGTCGTAGAAGTCTCTAAACCCAGGAAAGCTTTTGTATTAAGTGAAAGTGTAACATCCACTTGTACTTTTTGAGACTGAGAGAGTTGCACTAAACTGAAGTGAGTTTCTCAATCAAAGTGCATGAGCTAGCAACTGAGACCTCGAGACTAAGAGAGGTGGTGTTGTGCCTAGTCCACGCAACTCGTTTCTGACATCAGTTCTAGTCACGTGGTTTGTTCTGAGTTGAGCAGCAATACTTGACGTTACCAGTAACACTCGTTACTAATTGGTTGCCACATAGTTGTGTACATTCCATATTTTTATCTATAATATGGAAACATATAAATATATGCACACAATAATAACATCAGGACGAAGATGATAATGAATATATATTACTACAAAGTCGAACATCTTCATTTTAGCTATTAATAAAGATACTTGCAATGTAATATTAAGTAGGTCAGCATATTTAGGCGTGGCATCAGAGTATATATAAAACATGAAATAACTTTAAAACACTTGAAATTTTGGAAAGTTTCCGGACATAATGGAGACACGGGGTGCTCACAAAGAATGTAACGAACCGGGTGGGGTATGGCGACTGTATTAGAAAGTCAGGCGGGGGAGCCATATAAAGAGTTTTGGTCATAATTTGAAATGTCTGTATTAGCGGAACACCATAAGGTGAAATGCCATAAAGCAAGGCCCTACTGTACTAGCATGTCATACAGCCATCATTTGTGTACTGGTACATCAGACAGTAATCAGTTGTGTACTAGTATGTTAGACTCTCAGTCATTAGTTGTGTTGGACAATGTTATGTTAGTTTATTAAGAGTGTTGTAGTTGTAGCATAGTTGTTCAGCCAAAAACAAACTGTTTTTATTGACTTCTGTCTTTGAACCCCTTGAATTGGTTTACTTTTTTATTAGTGTTCATATAAACAATTGTTCTCGAACAGCTGTTAATGGTTCACAGTGTTGTCACTGTATCACTCCCAAACACTATTATCTAAAACTAAATTTCAACACTAGTGTCAGATTTTGTTCACCTCTCCTCTCCTCTTCTCTTCTCACTCTCCAGTGATTGATGTCCTATTAAGGATATATACATTTTAATTTTGAATTTCAGGAGTCGCTCTTTCAAGTATATCGTAATAGAAGGTTTCTTTTAACAGGACGATCATATGCGGTACGTTCACATCGAATGTTTCAACAGTGCATAGACAGCCTGGTGCAGAAAGTTCAAAGTGGTGTTGTTATAAATTTTGAGAAAATTGGCCCTGATCCACCACCAATCAACCCTGATGGTAACTATTTTAATGTTCAGTGACCCCAAGAATTTCTAACCTAACTGATCCTTTTTTATAATATGAAAGTGTTCACAAATAACCTTCATGTAGGAGAGGATACTGATGATGAGGTTTAGATCATCCTTAAACATTGCCAGGTCTCAGTTGACCCCAGGAAGAGTAAAGAAGATAAATATTGCTGATGCTGGTAGCAGCTGTAGTAGTAGTAGTGGTGGTAATGTAGTTTTGTAGTAGTAATGTAATGTAGTTTTAGCAGTAGTAATGTAGTTTTAGTAGTGATGTAGTTTTAATAGTAATATAGTTTTAGTAGTAATGTAGCTTTAGTAGTAATGTAGTTTTAGTAGTGGTAATGTAGTTTTAGTAGTGGTAATGTAGTTTTAGTAGTGGTAATGTACTTTTAGTAGTGGTAATGTACTTTTAGTAGTGGTAATGTACTTTTAGTAGTGGTAATGTAGTGTTAGTAGTGGTAATGTAGTGTTAGTAGTGGTAATGTAGGTTTAGTAGTGGTAATGTACTTTTAGTAGTGGTAATGTACTTTTAGTAGTGGTAATGTACTTTTAGTAGTGGTAATGTACTTTTAGTAGTGGTAATGTACTTTTAGTAGTGGTAATGTACTTTTAGTAGTGGGGGAATGTACTTTTAGTAGTGGTAATGTAGGTTTAGTAGTGGTAATGTAGGTTTAGTAGTGGTAATGTACTTTTAGTAGTGGTAATGTACTTTTAGTAGTGGTAATGTACTTTTAGTAGTGGTAATGTACTTTTAGTAGTGGTAATGTACTTTTAGTAGTGGTATTGTAGTTTTAGTAGTAGTAATGCAGTTTTAGTAGTAGTAGTAATGTAGTTGTAGTAGTAGTAGTAGTGGTATTGTAGTTTTAGTAGTAGTATTGTAGTTTTAGTAGTAGTAGTAGTAGTGTTATAGGTTTAGTAGTAGTAGTAATGTAATTTTAGTAGTAGTAGTATTGTAGTTTTAGTAGTAGTAGTATTTTAGTAGTATTGTAGTTTTAGTAGTAGTAGTGTTGTAGGATTAGTAGTAGTAGTAGTAATGTAGTTTTAGTAGTAGTAATTAGTTTTATTAGTAGTAATGTAGTTTTAGTAGTAGTAGTAATGTAGTTTTAATAGTAGTAGTAATGTAGTTTTAGTAGTAATATAGTTTTAGTAGTAATTAGTTTTAGTAGTAGTAGTACTGTAGTTGTATAATTTTAGTAGTAATGTAGTTTTAGTAGTAGTAGTAGTAATATAGTTTTAGTAGTAGTTGTTTTTCTTTTTCGGGCCACTCTGCCTTGGTGGGAATCGGCCAGTGTGATAAAAAAAAAAAATAGTAGTAGTTGTATAGTTTTAGTAGTAATATAGTTTTAGTAATAGTAGTAGTAGTAATGTAGTTTTAGTAATAGTGATGTAGTTTTAATAGTAATGTAGTTTTAGTAGTAGTAGTAATGTAGTTTTTGTAGTAGTAATATATTTTAATAGTGGTAATAGTAGTAATGTAGTTTTAGTAGTGGTAATGTAGTTTTAGTAGTAGTAGTAATGTAGTTTTAGTAGTGGTAATGTAGTTTTAGTAGTATTTTTAATGTAGTTTTAGTAGTAGTAATTTAGTTTTAACAATAGTAGTAGTAGTAGTAATGTGGTTTTAGTAATAGTAGTACAGGTCTGCCATCACAAATCCGGCAATCAGTTATTCGGTTCCTTCAGTTATTCGGCACTAATTTTGACTAGCATAATTTCAAGTTTCCAGGGTCGCCACACCAACCTGCTGGTACTGTTTGGTGGCGTTACTTGCTGCATAAGTCATTCCAATTTCTTTTTCTCCATTTATTGTTTTAACCTGCTTGCTTTTAGCCCTAGCCATGGTTCCAATGAATAAAAGAAATGCTTCTCATTATGTAAAGCACCGACACAGTACATTATCCATTAAAGATAAGGTGGCTTTGAAGCCACTGTTGGTTGCCATGAGCTCAGTCTCATGATGCAGGAGAATATGCTTTATTATTATGCTAATATCAACACTACAGCTTATTTGCCTATCACAATTGATCTAATAAGACATAAACAATATAAATAACATTAAAAATGTTAAATACTCCAGAATGAATAATTGGCATAATACCGAGCAGTTCGACAGGTATGAAGAGGATATGGTATACAAATACAGTGGACCCCTGGTTAACGATATTTTTGCATTCCAGAAGTATGTTCAGGTGCCAGTACTGACCGAATTTGTTCCCATAAGGAATTTTGTGAAGTAGATTAGTCCATTTCAGACCCCCAAACATACACGTACAAACGCACTTACATAATTCGTCGCATTGGGAGGTGATCGGTAAGCGGGGGTCCACTGTACCATTCTCCTATCCCTGTCTTGGGGCTTACATTAGAGAAAACAGAGTGTAGCACAGGGCTAACTGTGATATACACTCGTACTGCACCATAAACATGAAACTAATTTTTTTTTGTTTTTTTTCAACAAGTCGGCCGTCTCCCACCAAGGCAGGGTGACCCAAAAAAGAAAGAAAATCCCCAAAAAGAAAATACTTTCATAATCATTCAACACTTTCACCACACTCACACATTGTCACTGTTTTTGCAGAGGTGCTCAGAATACAACAGTTTAGAAGCATATACGTATAAAGATACACAACATATCCCTCCAAACTGTCAATATCCCAAACCTCTCATTTAAAGTGCAGGCATTGTACTTCCCATTTCCAGGACTCAAGTCCAACTATATGAAAATAACTGGTTTCCCTGAATCCCTTCACTAAATATTACCCTGCTCACACTCCAACAGATCATCAGGTCCCAAGTACCATTCGTCTCCATTCACTCCTATCTAACACGCTCACGCATGCTTGCTGGAAGTCCAAGCCCCTTGCCCACAAAACCTCCTTTACCCCCTCTCTCCAACCCTTTCGAGGACGACCCCTACCCCCCCTTCCTTCCTCTATAGATTTATATGCTTTCCATGTCATTCTACTTTGATCCATTCTCTCTAAATGACCAAACCACCTCAACAACCCCTCTTTTGCCCTCTGACTAATACTTTTATTAACTCCACACCTTTTCCTAATTTCCACACTCCGAATTTTCTGCATAATATTTACACCACACATTGCCCTTAAACAAGACATCTCCACTGCCTCCAACCATCTCCTCGCTGCTGCATTTACCACCCAAGCTTCACACCTATATAAGAGTGTTGGTACTGCTATATTTTCATACATTCCCTTCTTTGCCTCCATAGATAACGTTTTTGTGACTCCACATATACCTAAACGCACCACTCGCCTTTTTTCCCTCATCAATTCTATGATTAACCTCATCCTTCATAAATCCATCCGCCGACACATCAACTCCCAAGTATCTGAAAACATTCACTTCTTCCATACTCCTCCTCCCCAATTTGATATCCAATTTTTCTTTATCTAAATCATTTGATTCCCTCATCACCTTACTCTTTTCTATGTTCACTTTCAACTTTCTACCTCTACACACATTCCCAAACTCATCCACTAACCTTTGCAATTTTTCTTTAGAATCTCCCATAAGCACAGTATCATCAGCAAAAAGTAACTGTGTCAATTCCCATTTTGAATTTGATTCCCCAAAATTTAATCCCATCCCTCTCCCGAACACCCTAGCATTTACTTGCTTTACAACCCCATCTATAAATATATTAAACAACCATGGTGATGTTACACATCCCTGTCTAAGACCTACTTTTACTGGGAAGTAATCTCCCTCTCTTCTACACACCCTAACCTGAGCCTCATTATCCTCATAAAAACTCTTTACAGCATTTAATAACTTACCACCTATTCCATATACAGTGGACCCCCGCATACCGTCGGCATCACATAACGTTCAATCCACATACCGCTCGCTTTTATCGCAAAAATTTTGCCTCGCATACCGCTCAAAAACCTGCTCACCGCTGTTCGTCTGAGACGCGTCCAATGTGCGCCCTTAGCCAGCCTCACATGTGCCGCCGGTGGCATTGTTTACCAGCCAGCCTCCGCGGTAACATCCAAGCATACAATCGGAACATTTCATATTATTACAGTGTTTTTGGTGATTTTATCTGCAAAATAAGTGACCATGGGCCCCAAGAAAGCTTCTAGTGCCAACCCTACAGCAATAAGCGTGAGAATTACTATAGAGATGAAGAAAAAGATCATTGATAAGTATGAAAGTGGAGTGCGTGTCTCCGAGCTGGCCAGGTTGTATAATAAACCCCAATCAACCATCACTACTATTGGTGGTACAGCTGCTGCTGCTGCTGTACCACCGTCAGCTGCTGCTGCTGCTGCACTGTCAGCTGCTGCTGCTGCTGTAGCACCGTCAGCTGCTGCTGCTGTTGTATCACCGTCAGCTGCTGCTGCTGCTGCTCCTGCTGTAGTACCGTCTGCTGCTGCTGTAGTACCGTCTGCTGCTGCTGTAGCATCATCTGCTGCTGCTGTAGCATCATCTGCTGCTGCTGTAGCACTGTCAGCTGCTGCTGCTGCTGCACTGTCAGCTGCTGCTGTAGCACCGTCAGCTGCTGCTGCTGTTGTACCACCGTCAGCTGCTGCTGCTGCTGCTGCTGTAGTACCATCTGCTGCTGCTGTAGCATCGTCTGCTGCTGCTGTAGCACTGTCTGCTGCTGCTGCTGCTGTACCACCGTCAGCTGCTGCTGTAGTACCGTCTGCTGCTGCTGTAGCATTGTCTGCTGCTGCTGTAGCACTGTCAGCTGCTGCTGCTGCTACTGTAGCACCGTTGTTGGTGTGGCTTATTGAGAATACCAAGAAACAATTAACCCCAGAGGATTTGCCACCCAGGATAACCCAAAAAAGTCAGTGTCATCGAAGACTGTCTAACTTATTTCCATTGGGGTCCTTAATCTTGTCTCCCAGGATGCAACCCACACCAGTCGACTAACACCCAGGGGAACAGGGAAAAATGCCTGGAACTAGTGCTCATATTGGTGAATTTATAGCCAGCAAAGGTTGGTTTGAGAGATTTAAG